TATATATATATATTATATATATATTTTTGTTTAGTATGATTCTGATCTATAAACAAAAATGTAAAGATAATCATTAGTCTATTTAAAAACAATCATGAAATAATAAAAAGAAATGTTAGATAGAAGGAATTGATTATTTTACTCTTACTCTTTGTTTAATCTTTTTTACAATAATAAAATATAAATTTAGTTTTACGAAATTAATGTTATTAAACTGGATTAATTAAAAATATGTGTATAATTATCATATAATGAAAGAAAATCTAAGAAAATCTCTAGCAGATTTAAAATTTTTATGTTTAAATTTAAATCCTGTCTAGAAACATTGTTTCTTTGATCTTTTTTTTTATGATGCAAAATGTTTTTTTTATGATGCACAATTTATTAATCATAAGTATATATACATCTATACATTTATGTATATTTTTGTATATCACGAGATTTTATTTTAAAAATTAGGTGAACAGTACAAAGAACATAGGTCAGACAGAACAATCAGACAACAGTAGAATAAAGTAATTCACTGATATTATATAGTGAATTTTCTTCATATCATTCTATACATTTCTTTAATTGTAAAAAATGATAAATAGTCTCGTGGAAATCTTATCTTCTACTTTTAATATATAGTTTGTTTGTTATTCCAATTTATTTTAAAGTTTTTTTTGCATTTAAGAATTCTCTAATCTTATCTGGAATTTTGAAAAATAAGTTAATTGAACGATCTAGGAATTCTCAGAAAATTCTTTCTCAGAAAGCTTTCAATAAATACTCTGTTAATTCAGGTAGCAAACTGTAATCATTTTGATGTCGATTAGTAGTTAGTAGATTTTGAACTATTGATGTCATGTGATCTACCCAAAAAACGAGAATGGATTGAAATGAATTGAAATGGATTCAGATTTTCAGAAATATTGATTCACGAATGTTAAAATGAATGCTTTTCAATTCTGAATGCATTTTTATTAATTTAAGAATTACATGGAGCATATCTCTATTTTTTCAATCTAAAAATAATATTAATTTTTTCTGTATATACAAATTCTGTGAATACAATTGTGAATACTATTCAATTCAAAATTTTGAATAGGAAATGCAGTTTTTCAATCCAATTGCATCCAATTAAATTTAATTGAATCCAATTGAATCCAATTAATCCAAAAAAAGTAGTCGCTATTTAAAATACGCATTCAGATAGAAAAAAATTTCAATCCATTTTAATCCTCGTTTGCTGAGTCGACATCATATTGATAACGTTATTAGTGATCAATTAATAACGTCATTTATGCCGTTAATAATACGAAAATAATGATATATTTTCGTCGTTGATTAATATCATTATGTGACAAATCCATGTCACTTTTACGATGATAGGACGTCAGACATTAAGAATGATCAATTAATTACGTCAAATAGACGATACCTTGTTACCTAAGAATGTTATTATAAGTTGAATTAACTTTCATATTACATATTAACACGAAGATTTCATATTTCAACAATCTATAATCTCTTAATTTCGTTAATATCCTTTACTAATGTTATATATACAGGATGTATCAAAAGTCTGAAAATGGTCGAATATTTCGAAAGCAAAGTATTTTTTGGAAAAATGTTTCAGATACAATTGTAGGGTTTAAAAAACTATTCATTGATCACGTCCGTTTAATCTTGAATGGCGTCGCCAAGGTCAGATTAAAAGCAAATCGATTTTTTAAATGGAACACCCTATTTTTTATGGTAGAATCTAATAGATCTAGGGTCAAGAGTTTGATCTTAACAAATATTATCCAGGACATGAACAATATTCGAGAGATTTTAGTCGTCGGTCGAACACCTTGCATAATACTAAGGTTACCGATACTATAATTTTCAACCCTTTATAACTCGGAAAGTACGTAATAAAAAATAACTTTATTATAGTGTTTTGAAAAGTTCTCGACATGCGGTTATTAGATTCTGGAATCAAAAGTAAGATGTTTCATTTTTTAAAAATCGACGTGACCTTAATCTGACCTTGGCGATGCCAAAGTTATACTGATAAGATCAGTAAATCTTTTTGAACTCTACAACTTTTGTCTGAACAATTTTTCTCAGTAATGTATTTCTGAGATAAAAATTTAACGCTTTATTTTGAATTCCTGGTATATATAGAGTGTGTCACCAAAATCCGGATAAATTTCAATTTAAATTTTCCGCTATATTGTGCCTCCGGCAGAGGTTGTTGTTGGCGTCCGAGAAAACCTAATGCTTCTAGTAAATAGTCATATTCTTTGATTCTCAAAATGGCTGCGATTAAAACCAAGTATGGAGTATAATCAAAGAGCCGTGATCATCGAAAGCTTTCGCGCTCAGCAACAGGGAACTCAGCAACAGAAATAATTCGATTCTTTGGATATCTGAGCTTAATGACAAAATATACGGCTTTAGAATAGTCCAATGAAGGTTCCAATATACCAGCGAGAAAGAGTCAC